GGCTATGCTTTTTGGAGTGTATAACTAATTTTTATCACGATGAATTTTTTTTTGTGAGATATAAAAAAAAATTTTGTCCAAAGTCTATATTTTTGGTGGAAATATTTGTATTTTTGAAGTGTACAAGATTTTCCAGAGGTAATTTTTTTTGGTTTATGATTTTTTCTTTCTTTTCGTTGACGATCGATGATGCTTTGATTATTGTAAATAAAATGCTTTGATTTTTTAAAACGCGTACAGGTATGTATTCGAGTTTACGGAGTAGTGTGGATCGTAGGAATTGGGGGTTTAGAGACTTATGGTTTATGAGTGTTTTTTTCTGGGCTTGGATCAAGGATTGGATCCTAGGGGGGGGGGGGGGGGGGGGGGGGGGGGGGGGGGGGGGATAGAGTTGGGGAGGGTGGAGACTTGGGGTTATTCCAATAGAAAAAAAATCTCAGAATAATTGCTTTAAAAAAAAACAATCTAATGATAACGGATATTGTTTAACAGAAAAGTCTTGATATTCTCTGTGACGGATCGACTGAATTCCTCTTTGCTCATCGATAGACAACACACACACAAACTGTGCTACTGAAACCCCATTTTAACTTAGAACTGGGGGTGTAAAGCCATCATCAGGGGAAAGTGATTAGGCATATCAGATTTTTTTTGTTGTTTGTTTTTTTTCTATGGTGTTTGTTGGCTTTTTTTTCCATGACTCATGATTATGCCTAGTATGGATTGGAGGAGTTAATGAGTGTTTTTATTTTTCTGGAGGGAAGAGGTGGATCCTAGGAAAGGGGGGGGGTAAGAATTTTTATCCGAAAAGTGTAATTTTGTAAATTCGTATAAAACTTTACGGAGAAAGGGTAAACTTCTCTCTCCGAAAACTGTAAAAGATGGAAGAAAGTTGAAAAAAAAGAAGAAGAAGAAATAACAAGCAGCTACTTGTCTTATGATCCGATGGGTCTATTGAAACTGAAACTGAAAACTGAAACTGAAACTGAAAGTGAAAAGTGAAACTGAAGTGAAAACTGAAACTGAAAGTGAAAAGTGAAACTGAAGTGAAAACTGAAACTGAAACTGAAGTGAAAAGTGAAACTGAAAACTTTACGAAAGATGGCCTTAAAATCGAATTTACGGAGTATTTTTTCTCCGAAAACTTGGAAAAAGGTGAAATAAGTTGAAAAAAAAAGAAACAACAACAACCAG